AATAAAACATTTAAAAGAATTTTTGAAAATAGAGATTTGTCAGGCGGTGCCTGTGGCTCAAGGGGTAGGGCGCCAGCCCCCTATACCAGAGGTGGCAGATTCAAACCCAGCTATGGCCAAAAAGCTGCACAAAAAAAAACAAAACCAGAGATTTTCCCATTCATCTGGTGAGTAGTTTATAACTAGAGAAGTAGTAGATACGAGGCTGGAACGGTAAGTTGGGGCCATACTGTAGGAAGGAATATAGGAATATTTACCTGATTCTGTAAGTGGCCACCTTTCACATTTACCTGATCAGAATCAAATCTGTTTAAAATTAATTTACTTTCTTTTGGCTTTAAGTATATAACATTAATATTATCTTCTAACATTGACATGTTTTGCTTTCCTTTATATATGTATATATACCTTTATGAGTCAGTGTTAAAAGAGTTTCTTTTAAAGAGAATGGTGACAGTGATAATAAGAACTGAAAAAGTTTTTCTTTAATAAGATTGACAAATATTTCATCAGATAATGGTATTTTCCTTAAGTTGTAAAATAGCTTAAATGTAATTAAAAATTTAAAAACCACGGTGATTAGAAACATACAGTTTTTGATGCATGTTTCAATAATTTGAAATCAAGAGCACCCACAACTTTATGTTCATTATCTAGTGTAAAATTGAATACAGAAATATACATATCACCCGATCTCTGGTGTTGTAGGAATTGCACATAGGTGAAAACCAGATTGAAGTGTTAAAGGCAGAGCACCTGAAGCATCTGAATTCTATTCTTGTGCTAGACCTGAGGGATAACAAGTTAAAATCTGTTCCAGATGAAATTACACTATTACAGTCTTTGGAAAGGCTTGACCTAAGCAACAATGATATTAGTAGGTAAGTTTTAAGATCAAATGAAGAGAAATTATATTTACATGCTATTGTATGTAATAATTCATAAATTAAAATATTTGTAAAAAACTTGAGAGGTTTTTTCGTGAATTCACTAAATATTGACTGAACAGAGATTACGTGCAGATACACAAAGATTAACCTCATTTTCTTGGCAGTGAGCTTGATATGCTAACAGAAGCAAACTAAACTCTAGGAATACTAGATTTATTTGGTTAGATTATACTTGTATTTAATGTTTTCCTTGAAATCAATTTAATCTTTTGTAGTCTGCCTTATTCATTGGGAAACCTTCATTTGAAATTCCTAGCACTAGAAGGAAATCCTTTAAGAACCATTAGAAGAGAAATTATAAATGTAAGTATATTTAGAATTCAGCTCTTTGTTTTTAAATTTAAATTCAGACATAAACATATATTGATTTATAAAACTACAAGATCTGTCTTGGTGAACATCTTTGTCTTCACCCTTTTAGAAAGGAACCCAAGAAGTCCTAAAATATTTACGAAGCAAGATCAAAGGTACTTTTTAATTTTCTGCTATATTTTGAAGAATTCATGAGAAGTGATGAAGTATTAATAGTACATAAATTAAATGTACTTGAACGTAAATATTTGTAGGAAATGTCTCTGGCAAGTTTGGCTCTCATTCTTAGTGAGAGCAGGTCATTCCTGCTGACCACGGGTATACTGAAGTGATAAAAACATCTTTAAACTCACAAAAATGATATTCTGTCTGTAATTGCTTTGAATTGTGTTAAAGCCTATCAATTAGAAAATATAAAAGAGATTCAATGAGCACTTAGTACTTTCACTTTGAAAAAGGAGCAAATCTTGATGGTTAAATATATCAACAAGTATCTGAGGGTGTCCTGTCCATGCATAGCTTTGCTAAATTCCGAAAATAGTAAAGGCAAAACACACTTTTCAGGATATGTAATTTAGTATTAACATGTACCAAGGTGAAAATAATTGTTAATAATTCACTAAGACTGTGATATAGCCTAGCTTTTATTTCATTTCTGTCATGGCAGCATGAACTAAAGCTTTAAGAATAAAAACTAGTTGTTACTAGTGTACTGCTGAGTAACACACTACTCCAAACCTGTGGCGGAACCACTCTGTTGGCTGTGCATGGCCTAGCCTAGCACTGTATTTTTATGAAATACTCTCTATGTGTTGGCCACCTCTTGATAAAATTTTATAATGAGTATTTTGCATATAAAGATAAACTTAGCTATAATTTCTATAAACTTAGCTATAATTTTCCCTATGTATGGCAACTTTAGAGGTATCGTTTGAGATACCCTGTATTTATTTATTGTGTTCAGCACTTAGTGGGCCTTTTCAATTTGAAATTTTGATTTTCTTTATTACTTAGGTTTTGTAAATTAAAGCAGTGTGTGCCACATGGTAAAAAAAAAAAAATTAACCAATATGCAAAGGTATATGATGAAAATAAATGTCACTCGTACAGTCCTCTCCCTAGAGAAAATTATCTCCCTCTAAAGGAGTGTATCTCCATGATGTACTCCTTGAACTGATTATTGAAAGGAGCTCTTCGGAAATTGTTCAGAATATCCTAACTCAATATATAATCATGGTAGTATACATATATATTTAAAAAATAATACTGGGTTTTGTTGCCGGTTTAGTACTGTCTCTCTGCTAATGTCATTTTGGCAATTTATTATATATTCTTTAAAATAACATAACCAAACTGCTACGGAACTTCTAAATACCAAAGCATTGCGTTGATATTTATTTCCCTTGATGTCTTATTTCTATTTGATATTCTGTCATTTATCTTTGCTATATTATAAATATTCACGTCATATTTGCTTGGAAAATAAATGATAGTTTAATCATTGATGAATAACTGATGAGCTCAGTACAAGAGAAGTATACTTAGTAATGTTTAACAAATATTTATTGAATGCCTACTGGGCTGAAGCAATATCAGAGATACTATAATATTAATTCTTTGTTTTCTTTTGGCATGCCTTCTACTATTATATATGAATTCTGGAGCCATTTCATCTTTTTCACATTGTTGAAAATTAGTAGACTTATTTTACTTCTTTCTATATTGTTCAAGTCTTTACTGCACAAACAATCACAAAGCCTTTTCTTTAGGGGGAATTTTTTTGGAATACCATGCATGGGAGTGTTAGACAGTCTCTGATAGTGTGTGAGTGAGTGAGTGTGCATGCATGTTAGGGACACACCTATAAAAATAAAGTCTGTGTTTATTAAGAAAAAGGCTTAACTGATTTAACATAAAATTTACCAAAAGCTTACTTGATTATGAAAATTGACAGATTTTAAGTGATTCAATCTGATTCATTGATTCTTAAGCTAAAAAAATAGGCATATGCATATTTGGTAGACATTTGAAGGAAATAATCTTTCTCCTTTGTGACCAAATTTCTTCTAGGGGGTCATATAATTTTGCTTAAGAGGAAGGATTTCTTGTCATTGTTTCATCTGAGACCTTGTATTATTAAAAGGTTTTGAAACCATACGATAATAACATTGTTTTCTGCCAGTTAAGTATTAAATTCAAGACTGAAATTTGAGTTATTGGAAATAAAGCATATGACTTAAAAGCATTTTCTCCAGTAATATCTAGAAGTCATGTACATTAGTTTTACATATTAACAAGAATTTTAAAGTGACTTTTCAGTGTAAATATTAGTTTTATATAAATTTTCTTTTGCCAGATGATGGACCTAGCCAGAGTGACTCTGTCACTGAGACTGCAATGACACTGCCAAGTGAATCCAGGGTCAATGTACACGCCATTGTCACATTAAAAACATTAGACTACAGGTATGTAATTCATGTTTTTAAACACTGTCAAACACATAGGAAACTTAATAGGAAAAAACCCTTCAGAAAAAGGAAAACCGGTGAGGAAGAATATATCCATGTACTTGACCCAGAATAACAGCCGTTACAAAAAAAACATGGTGAAATGAAAGCTTATTAACAGAGAAAAACTCAATTAAATTTAAGTGGGTGAGGAGGGGAAGTCAGTTCCCACCCACTGGGTGCATTGCACGGGGATGTTGTACACCTCTGGGTGACGGACCCCCTGTAACTTGGTCTTTAACCTTGTAAAAGCAAATAATGGTATGTGCCCTCATATTAATCTGAAATTTAAAAGAAGAGAAAATTAAGTCAACCTAAGGAGGTGGTCAGTGTAGGGAGATGGTCAACTATGGAGATTCTGTGGTATATAGAGCTCAGTACTATCTGCAGTTTCAGGCATCTATTGGGATTCTTGGAATGTATTCCCCTGGATAATGGGGAATTACTGTACTTTCATTTAAGATTAAATTTCTGTTTTACTGAAAATTTGAATTAAAGGGAAATTTATTTATATATACATTTGAAAAGATATGGCACATGTAACAATGAACAGCTCTTCAAATGGTAATTTACAAAACTGAGGTTCAAGGAAAGTAAATTACAAAAAATCCTTAATGATGGAGCTGGGAATAGTTTGGTCTCTGTCCATTGCATTATCTCATCACACACTAAAGGAGAGAGAATTACGAAAGTAGGATTAGTTCAGTATAATACTGAACTTCTAAAAATGATTGTTATCTTGCAGTAAACTATATAAGATGACAGATAACCCCAAACTTTAATGGATTTTTAAGAAGAGAGGCGACAACCAGCTTTAAAATGACAGAGGTAGAAGAATGAGCTGTCCATGTTCCATACGATTTACAGGCGTCCTAGAGTAACGGCCTAGGTACACGTGTCCTGTGTTTATTCACACTGAGTATCTGAGTGCCCAGAAGGAGTGGTGGACTGTGTTATAGGACAGCATGTTGTCTGATTCCTGACAGGAACCATTTTGTGGGTTGGTAGAGTTTTGTGGCAGGTTTTATAAAACTTGAAAATCAACTGCCTTGAAAAATTGTTTAACTATTAAAAGGCCTTTATAAATGAATTGGTATTAATTATATCTTTCTGGACTACTAAGAATGATTCATTTTTTAAAATCATTTTTCATTTAGTGATAAACAAACCCCATCGATTCCTGATGAAGTTTTTGATGCAGTGAAGAGTAACATCATCACTACTGTCAACTTCAGTAAGAACCAGCTGGGTGATGTTCCCAAAAGGTGCCAACTATTCAGGGTGCCATTGCTATTGGGCAGTGACTTGTTCTTAGTTGTATTCTCATCTTAGTTGCAAGAAAAATTATTTTTCATAGTTTTTTAATTAGAAAGTATATGGAAAATATTTTGCATTGTCAATATTGGAGGGATTTAGTAAAATATCATTAGTATTTCCAGGAACACTTTTATCATTTGTTCTGAGAGGTTTAGAGATATTTTTAAAATAAAACTTTGGGGTTTTTTTCTTTTTTTGGATGAGATAGGGTCTTACTCAGTTGTCCAGGCTGGAGTACAGTGGCATCATCATTAACTCACTGCAACCTCAAACTCCTGGGCTCAAGAGATCCTGCCATCTTAGCCTCCTGCATAGCGGGGACTATGTTTCCCTGCCACAACACCTGGCTAATTTTTCTATTTTTTGTAGAGACAAGGTTTTACTCTTGTCCAGACCGGTCTCGAATTCCCGGCTTCTAGAAATCCTCCTCCCTTGGCCTTCCAAAGTGCTAAGATTATGGGTGCAAAACACAGTATCTGGCCTCTTTTACATTTTAAACTTAAGGAAAAGAGATATTAGAATTATTAAAAGTGCTAAATTAATTTTTCCATATAATAAGATATTAGAGGAAAGTGTTAGGCAATCATCCCACACTAGGTCCATGTGGAGTCATAGGACTTTTCATTTAGGGCTTTATGTTAATGAATTGCTAAGTCACTGAATTTCTCCACTCATAATTAAAGCAAAATTGCACTTGCAGTCATTAAAAGTCACTTGCATTATATGTATTTTACACTGCTTAGTACATTTTGTTGTTGTTAACTATAGTAAAATCTTTAGGTTATAAAAGAAAATTAGTGTATTGTTGAAATTTTTCAAATATTTGTTATGTATCAAGAAACTATATACCCAAAGAAAATTGACTGATAAGTTAGGAATTAAAAGGAATTAAAAACAGCCACATGTGAGACAAGATGGAGTAATTGAGGAACTTGAACACTATATGCAGATGATTGCTTGTCCCTCTCTCAGATGTGTTGGACAGGTTGAGTAGCTGCTCTTAATTTCCTGACCTCTGAAGTAGGGATACTTAAAGCACCTATTTGTAAGAATTACATTAGATGACATAATCCACATACCGCATTTCATCAATGCTTAAAGAGAAAAAAGAGATGATGATGATGTGGAGAGGGGTGATGCATCGAGCAACTAGAATGGCTTCATCTGACTGCAAAATGTTTTAGATGTTTAAAATTTTTTTAAAAGTGAGACCAGCTATAATTTGTTCTCTATTTTGTAGCATAGTGTTTGGGCAATGCACATCTTAAAAGATGACAATTTTTGAGACTCCTTTGCAAAAGGAAGTATAGTCTATCTCCTGGTTCTCTCTTGTGGGAAGGGCTGAGAGGGGATTTGATGAAATAGTTGAGCAGTTAAAGGTGCTCTCAAATAGGATAGGTTTGCTTTGAAAGTGTCTTGGATCAGGGTGGCACCTGTGGCTCAAGGAGTAGGGTGCTGGCCCGATATACTGGAGGTGGTGGGTTCAAACCTGCCCCCCCCCC